CATGGGTGGTGGCTGCTGGGAAAGATGGCTCAGCCCTGCTCTCCTGTCCTGGGGCTCTTGTTATCTGTTTATACACATTTTGCTATTTACATTTTAACTTATTATCACATGGCTAGGACTGCTTGTACAAGATTTTTTGTATTTTATTTTTTTGAGTCGGAATCACTACACAGCCTCGTCCCCTTGGGGCCACTCCGTCTCCTCATTGACCTCCGCCGACTCCTCTGGCACCGTCCTTTCCGTCAGGGCTTCTCTGCTGTCCCTGGGTTGGAAGGACAGGCTGAGGCTTGTTCCCCTGAAGGGAGCAGCTCGGCCTGCCCAACCTCCTCTTCCAGGCCCAGCCGCTTACCCAGCTGGGCCTGGAAGACTATCGCGGCTGAATATCTCATCCTCCTCGTCGTCGGAATCCCCGTGGTGCAGATTCTGCGCCATGTTCTTCTTGCGCCTGGTGTTGCGAGGTCTGTGCGTGTCCCTAGGCCAGAGTGGCCACCTCAGCCAGAAGAAGCCCTCCTGGAAGAAGAGAGGAGAAGATGGACACCACGCTCCCACCTCCCCGGTGCCTGCCCTGGTGTACTTACCTTCTGCTGCCTCGACGGGCACCTCCTGCGCTTCAGAAACCCAAAGAAGCCCCTGGGGAGACACGCAGTGTGTTAGTGACTCCTGCCTCCTCCCAGGCCGCCCGCAACGTCTGCCCTGGTCTCATGAGGACTGGGCGTGCACCTCGGCCCATAATCACAGGGAGGAACCCCTCCCCCAGGGCCGGGCTTGAACATGATTCACTGCAGGCGGGACTCCAGAAGCCCTCCGTGTGTCAGAGGGCCCCACAGTGTCTCGGAGTCTCTGATGGCTCAGCAAGGTGCAGAGGTGGGATTTTCAGCCCCACTCAACCCGTGGCCACGGCCCTCGTGCAGTGAGCACACCGGCCAACCAGGCCGGGCGGAAGCATGGCGCACCCTCGAGGGGCAATGTCCACCCGTCTCCTCAGACGCGGTCTCACACAGCAGGAGCCGGGTGGGGGGATGGGTGCTTCTATGACCCGGATGCTCTACCCTCTGAGCCAGGTCACACTGAGCAAATGCCCGAGTCCAGCTAGCAAAGCTGCCCACCTCCCAGATTCCACCACTGCAGGCGTCTCTGGGCGCGAGCAAGCTGCAGAGCCAGTTTAAAGGACATTGCTCTTTGTGAATTTGAGCAGAACAGAGAAATATCAAGTGCTGTTTCAGGAGCCACTTGTCTGTCCGGCGTGTGTATGCTGCTTTGTGGCACAGAACATGCTCAGCCCAGCCCGGTGGCGACAGTGCAGGAGCACCTGCTGCAGGGGACTGGCCTCTTTCAGATGCTCACTGGACGTGTGACCACGGGGCAAGACAGCCTGCCTTTCTCTTTCTCCATTTCCTGTTATAAAGGAGGAGACCAACTGCTGTCCAAGTTCTCTCCCAGTCAAAGCCCCATGAGGTCTGGATAGCAGGAATGGAGAGTGCAGGCCCAGCACCTGGGGGGGGCTTTCCTGCCACTGTAGAGGAAGGACTCAGCTGTTCCACCTGCTCTCAGCTGTGAGGAGATTCGCCCCTCGCCCCATACCAAGTGGCCTTCCCTGCCCTTCCCCAGAGCTCCGAGAAGGCTTCTGGCCTGGCCTGATGCCCTCCACAGCAGGAATAGGCACCGCCAAACTCTTCCCCACCTCCCGTTTCCCTGTGGGGCTGGTGAGAGCAGCCGTGTCCTCGCTAGCCCATCCAACACAGCTTTGGGGATCTGGTTTTTGCTGGAGCCTGACCAAACACCAGGGTGAGGAAGCATCCTTCCTGCCTCTGGCAGTGACCGCACTACAGAATGAGGGACGGCCAGAGGTGCGTTCCCTCACTTAAAAGTTGCAGGGTTGCGTTTACCTTGAGGTTCCTTTTTTTTTCATCTTCACTCGGTGAGCGTAAATCTGTTTTGGAAGAAAACGTGGTTATCTACCACAACGACCACTGTCTCTAGATCTTTATTGGTTTTAAGTCTTATCTACCCAATGCAGGAACTTCTTTGAAGACAGGAGTTCCATCCTGTTTGACTCTTCTACAGCACAATAGTCCTTTCGCTTCTGAGGGGCACTGGCTCCAGGACACCCACACCCCAGACCAAAATCTGCAGCTGCTCAAGTCCCTGACATACAGTGGCATAGCGTCTGCATACAATCTAAGCACATCCTTCTGCATGCTTTTTTTTTTCTTTTTTTGAGTTGGTGGCTCAGCCTGTAATCCCGCACCTTTGGGAGGCTGAGGTGAGTGGATTGCCTGAGCCCGTGGGTTGCCATTATGTAACTGAGCAAAAGGTAAACAGAGGCAAGGTCCAGAAACAGTTCCTGTAAGCGGGACACGCCTCGGGATGCTTTCCCTGGGTCCCTTAGCGCCTCAAACACTGGAGGAGCAGGAGCTACGTGACTCTGACTCCTCTACGGGATGGCCCTTCTGTCTTTGGCCGTGTCCTTTTCTAGGGTGATGGCAGCTGCGAGACGGTGGAGATCATACATCTCTCGTCATTTCTGCAACAGGGAAATAAACCCGTGGCAGATCGGGAATGACTGGGAAGTACACCAGACTGTTAGATAGTTTTGGGTTGGAGAAATGTTGCTGTCATATATACTCCGGCCTTCTTAAACTTCGCTTTTGGAAAGAGTCTCATGGTTTGCTAACTTGGTTTCAGTTCCACAGGGATCTGCTGGGAGGAAAGTTTCTTTAAACATCCCCGGGACATACTTTGCAGTAAAGAACAAAGCTTTCCTTAGTCTTGGGGACTGGAGAGGATTGTCAAGTGCCAGTAGGTGGGAAAGTGGCCTTGATTTTCAGCATGTGGGTTCTGAATCTACAGGAAAGACAGCATTTCATTCTGGAAATCTGAGTTAATTGTTGTCCTTACCTCAATGAGACACAAGATTAAAATAAATTTTGTGAAGATGACAGTAACGGATATCGCCACGATTAGTTTTTTATGATAGCCATATCCTGGAACTTCTTTAGTGAGCTAAAAAAAGGAAAGAAAGAAAAGGAAAGAACAAGTTTTAAAACACAAAGTAGTGGAAAGGGCGCTAGCTAGCTATTCAGTACCCCATTCTTCCAAGTTGGTAGCCTATAGGATCGTAAATAGCAGAGCAAGTCTAATGCGTTACATGGTCGCACTACTAGCGTTTCCTTCTGCGATTTGTCTTGTGTATCGGTTCTGCTTTATGCTCTAAATGAGCAAAGTGTGAGGTCACTGTCATGGTCAAAGTTACGTGGCCAGGATGAGAGGTGCCGGAGCCCCGGGCTCCACGTGGTTCTCCCCCCGGGGCATCCTCTGTGTCTGTGGTCATCCTCACCTCGTCTGACTCCTGGCCCTTCTGCTCGCTCTGGGCCTCAGTGCTCTCTTTGAGGTAGTTGTTCCTCCATTGTTCCGTGTCCCACTCCGCCTCGGCCACCTTCGCCTCCTGCTTGCTCGCTGAGGAGCTTCATCAGGAGGTCCATCTGGGAGATGAGCTTGGCACAGGGCAGCTGCACGCGGCTCTCGGAGCAGTCCATCTTTAGGGTCCTGATCACGTGGGAAACAAGCCTCCGCACATTGTTGTCCGGGATGAGGAATTGCAGCTGCTGGTTTAGCTCACTCTCAAACTGGTCCCCTGGGGACAAGAGCAGCGGGTACGTGGAGCTCTGCGGCATGGGGGGCAGATCGGGCCCCGGGTGGCTGACCTCCCGCTGCATGTCATTGGTCTGTCTGACGGGTGACATGGCATTGAAGGCAGGCACGGTGGAGTCGGCCTCGGAAGGGTTCGCCAGCCCTCGCGAGGGCAAGTTGATGAGGTTCCGGACTGCAGGGAGTGGGGGTCTCTTGGCAACCATCAGTTGACCAGATGAGCCTTCCTTCCCGAACTTCCAACTCACCTTGGCCTTGGGTGCTCTGTGGACCACCTCAAAGTGAGTTTTACCTACAAGTGAATCAAGTGGATCCTGCATGATTCAAGATTTTGCTGCTGCCTGTTCCAAAATAAAGAGGGTGTGCTTCAAGTCTTTGGACTCCCTTTGGTCCCCAGACAGGGCTTTCGCAGAGGCAGCTGGGGGAACATCCATCTGCTTTCCTAGGGAAGAAAGCCAATCTGCCTGTGTGGATGAGGGCTTGGTGTGGGAGGGGCTGCCCACCAGCATCTGGGGCCTCTGCGCCCTGAGAGACCATTCTGGCTCCCTTGGGGCCGGCCTCCCACGCTTCCTTTCCATGGCAGCATCTTCCACAGATGGCTGGGTGCTCTGTTGCCTCCTGATGAGATGATCTTTAAGGGTCTCCTTGAGATGCCTTTTCTTAATGCCCTTGGGCCCCTTGATGATTACGCCCACGGTCCGCAGCCTTTTCCTAAGACCCTGAGTCTTCGACAGCCTGGTTCCCTGTGGCTGGGCAGTTTTCAGGTGGTCTGCAGAGTTTTGGTGTTTAAAACTTTGATATCCTAAGGGGCCAGGCTGCATCAGCATACCAGCTCCTATTTTCCTTTTGACTGCCTCCATTTTTTTTTTCATTAGTGAACCTAACCAATTTTTAAGGATATAATACCTCCTCAATCTATTTCTGTAAGGATTGTTGGATGTATTGTTTCTCCAAAAAGATGGGGGTTTAGCTTTATTAAAAAGTTTTGAAAAAAGCAGTTCAGTGAATGGTGACAATGTTGATTCCATATCCTCTAGGTTACCCAGTGAGAAATAGGGCCAGACGTAATTGAGTGCACTGATGACATTGCTTTCATCACTGAAGTCCAGCTGCTCACTGAAGATGTCTGTCTGTTTGACAACCCTCTTGTCTGAGGGTGTCTCTGGCTCAATAATGAGCTCAGTGCTGATGTGCTTCTTCCGGGCTTGCAGCACCTTCATGAAGGTTCCCTCTGTGTTTTTTATTGCTGTTTCTTCGACTGTCAAGAGGAAGCACAGAGAAAAAAAAAATACCTGGGAATGCATCCTACAAAGGAGGTGCAGCTCTCTACAGTGAGTACTACCAACCACAGCTGGAAGAAACAGAAGACCAACATGAGCCAGTGGAAAACATTCCATGCTCATGGACCGGAGGAATCACCATCATTAAGAGGACCATACTGCCCAAAGCAAGTTGGCTACAGAGTCAACACAATCCCTCTTGAATGACCTGCGTCGTTTTTCACGATCTAGAAAAAAATAGGACTCAAATTCATAGGGAAGAAAAAAGAGCCTAAATACCCAAATCATGCCTGAGCAAAAAGAACAAAGCTGGAGCCATATTACTAGACTTCAAACTTTACTACAAGGCCACAGTAACCAAAACAGCATGGTAAAAAAAAAAAAAAAAAATAGGCACATAGACCAATGGAACAGAATACAAATCCCAGAAATACAGCTGCTGACCTACAGCCAACTGATCTTTGGCAAAGCCAAAAAAAAAAAATCAGTATTGGAGAAAGAACACCCTATTCAATAAATGGTGCTGGGAAAACTGGCTAACTATACGCAGAAGAAGGAAACCAAATCCCTTCTCTCCATGTACAAACATGAACTCAAGATGGATTAAAGTCTTACATATAAGACCTCAAACTATAAAAATCCTAGAAGAAATCATAGGAAACACTCTTGCTGCCTGGGTGCCGTGCCTCATGCCTGAAATCCTAACACTTTGGGAGGCAGAGGCGAGAGGACTGGCTGAGCCCAGGTGTTCAAGACCAGCCTGGGCAACTTGGTGAGACCTCATCTCTACAGTTTAAAAAACAAAAACAAAAACCCAAACACTCTTTCTGGACATCGGCCGAGGCAACAAATATATGACCAAGTCCTCAAAAGTAAACGCAAGCTGGGCATGGTGGTGCATGTCTGTTATCCCAACACTTTGGGAGGTCAAGGTGGGAGGATTACTTGAGCCCAGGAGTTTTGAGATCAGCCTGGGAAACATAGCAAGACTTTGTTTCTTCCAAAAATAAATAAATAAATAAATTAGCTGGGTAACACCTATAGTCCTGGCTACTTGGGAGGCTAAGGCAGAAGGATTGCCTGAGCCCACGAGTTCCAGGCAGTGGTGAGCCATGATTGTGCCACTGCACAACAGCCTGGGCAACAGAGAGAGACCCAGACTCAAAAAAAAAAAAAGAAGCAAATGCAGTAAAAACCAAAATTGACAAGTGGGATCTAATTAAACTAAAGAGCTTCTGCACAGCAAAAGGAATGATCAACAGAGTAAATAGACAACCTACAGAATGAGAGGAAATATTGACAAACTATGCATCCAACAATGGCCTAATATCCAGAATCTATAAGGAACTTAAATGAATTGACAGGAAAACAACAAGTAACCCCATTAAAAAGTAGGCAAAGGATGTGAACAGATACTTCTGGAAAGAAGACACACAAGCAGCCAGCAGACATATGAACAAATGTTCAGCATCAGTAATTATCAGGGAAATGCAAACCAGAGCCATAATGAGATAACATCTCACACCAGTCAGAATGGCTATTCTCAAAAAGTAAAACAATGACAGATATGGCGAGGCTGTGCAGAACAGAGAACGCCACACTGTTATGGGAATGTCAGCTAGTTCAGCCACTGTGGAAAGCATTTTGGAGATGGCTTAAAGAACTAACAATAGATTTGCCATTTGACCCAGCAACCCCCCTGCTGGGTGTATACTCAAGGGAGCATAGATCCTTCTACCAAAAAGACACCCGCACTCCATGCTTAGTACAGCACTCTTCACAACAGAAAACCACGGAACCAACGTAGGCGCCCATCAACGGTGGACTAGTTTAAAAAATGTGATCCGTGCACACCACAGAAGACTACACAGCCATAAATAAGAACAAAACTATGTCCCTCTGCAGCAATGTGGATGCCACTGGAGGCCATTATTCTCTGTGAGTTAACACAGAAACAGAAGACTATGTCACTTACAGGTGGGCAGGTGGGCACTTGCAGGTGTCATTCACCTGCCCTTCCATCCTTTCCCCTGGTCCTTTACGGAGACGGAACACTTATATTACCAAATCATGTCGTAACAACAAAGAACCTGACTTTCAGCAAGGGACTGTTCAGAAATTTAGAAACTTTAACTCTGAATGAATGAATAAAGAGAAGCAATTGCATCTTTAGCACACTGGGTATGCACGGACACAAAGATGGGAACTCTTTATGGGGACCCTTAAAGGAGGGCAGGGGACAAGGCTGAAACACACCAATTGGGTACTGTGTGTGCCATTTGCATAATGGACTTCATAGAAGCCCAAACCTCCCATCACTGACCGTACCCATGTAACACACCTGTACATGGACCCCTTGAATCTCAAAGTAATAACCTAGAATAATAAAAATAAAAGAGACTGCTTTGATTACGAAAGATGAGGGGATGGCCCGTGCCAGTCCACAGCCATCCAGAGAGGAGAGGCAGAATCCCAGCCTGAGACTAGGAAATGGCACAGCGGAAGGAAACAACATCTTTTGAAAACGTAGCTGCCTACTCAGAACACTTCATTCTGAGAAATACAGTAACTCTCTTTAGGATTGCCCCCTGAGCCCCAGTGGCCAAGGCGGAAGACGAGTGCTCCCGGCCGAGCCAGCCCAACTGCAGACCTGCCTCCTCACGCCCTGACCCGCGCTGTCCTCCCTCGGACACAGAGGGAGCGCGAGGTCCCGGCATGCCCGTGCTCTCACTGCATCAGATGGCCTCGGAGGGCAGCAAGGGCAGAGACGCCGACGCAGAGGCGCCACCGCCCTGCCGACAGGCCCTCTGTGACACGTACATCCTCCTCTGCCACACACCCAGTTCCCTGTCCCATCTATCCTGGGCCTCATGCCAGAAGGCTCCACAGGGGAAAAAATCACTATGTCCGTCCTGGTTCTTTCCTTAAGTTCGGGCAGGGACCCAAGGCGTAGGTGGAGAGATTTTTAATTTGCCAGCTTGTATGCCTATGTGGAGTGGTCAGTGTATCTGTGGAGTTTCTGGATAAACAGAACTTTAGGTCCTAAAATGCAGAAGGGAAGAAGCAACTTTTGTCAGATGCCTACATGATTTTCATTTAATTTCTCATGTGCCCCGCTTTACTTGGGGCACCATCCAAAGCTTCTGGTAGCACAAAGGTCACGGGGACCACATGCAGCATTTCTTTTCCAGAATCAAAAGTGTTTCTGGTGGTGATGAGGGTCAGAGGAGGAGGTGAGGACCATGAGAGAGAAGGAGTGTGGACTTGTGGAGAACCCAGAACTGGACAGACGACCTGGCACTAGGCCACAGCACTTCACACGTCAGATCCTGCTTTTTCTCATCTGTAAAAGGAGCTTACAAACGCTTGTTCTGGGGGAGAAGGAAATCATATAATTGGAAGAAAACTGTTTTGAAAAATAAGCAACATAGCAGTAAAGTGTTTTTACTTATTATTTGCCCCATGTTCAAGCTGTTTGGACAGGAACACAGTCACATTTTGGAAGTCATGAAGTTCCTGCCGATAAACTTAATGTCGAGAAAAACACCCGAAGCACCCAAGTGTGTGTTCAGCGGACAGAAAAGCTGAGATTCAGAACGGGTTCAGACAGTCCCAGAATGGAGAAAACTTTCATGCCGTTAGAAGAGCCAGGTAGTGATGTCTGGTTACAGAACCACAAACTCTCAGGCTTCACATAAAACAGTACTGCTTCTACTGTTTTAGGAGGTGGTAAGAAACAACAAACCCAGACCTATCTATACCTGTCCTCCAAGGACACCTGAGGCCTCATGCATATAAAACCAGTTCACAAAACGCACCGTGCAATCTGAGCACCTTCTCCCTGGAGCAAATCTCCCAGCGGAGAGCACAGCACAGTGTGTGGCCATCGCTGTCACTCACCTGCCCTTCCATCCTTTCCCCTGGTCCTTTACGGAGACGGAACACTTATATTACCAAATCATGTCGTAACAACAAAGAACCTGACTTTCAGCAAGGGAGTGTTCAGAAATTTAGAAACTTTAACTCTGAATGTATGAAAAAACAGAAGCAATTGCATCTTTAGCTTAAAAATGCATCATCATTGGTTACAAACCAAAATTAAAAAATAAGTCAAAGAAAACTTTAACAACTTATCACTGGGCAGTTTGGACTCACGACAATGTGTAGTGCTTGTCGGACATGTCTCACAATGTAGCTTCACTGTGTTACAGATCATTTCGATCTGAATTTTTATCTGACAGAGGCAGCAGGCCACATGGCTGGGCAGGATCCTACAAATGGAAACACAGAGAATTCGATTAATGGTAAAGGGGTTGCCTGAGCAGGTAAAAGAGGCAGGCAGGCCACCACAGGGCTGGGCGAAATGGACTTGAGGCTGACAGTCTGGTCTGGACAGTTGGGTAGGAACTCGATGGCCAATAGGAAGGAGGACAGAGGTGCCCCACAGAGGGCAAGTATGGTGGTGGGTACGGTGGCCTAGAATAAAGGTGATCAGGACTAGACCTGGGCGACACTGATCTGTGGTTTAATCCATAAGGACCTCCCCCTAACTCAGAAGTCCCTCTCAGGTTGAGAGTATACGGAAGAAGGTGGACTTCTAAGAAGAGTCTAAATAAGCCCCAACTCAGTTCCTGCTGGGAGTGGTAAATGTTGAAAATTATTCTGGGTATAAAATGCGCTTAGTTTAACCCGCACGATAGAGTTAAATAATAACAGAGATTGCACTGGCCAAATCTGAACAATGTGAGCATTCAGAAGAATAACGATAATAATATGACACAACACAATCAAGAGCCCCTGAACTCACAGTGATACTCAGGAGGAAAGGGGGAGGGGCTCTTCTTTCATAGAACAACTGCCAGCTGGTAAGTGAAGAAAATGACAGAAAGTGTCATTTTGTAGCCACCAGTGTAATAATCGATTCAGAGGATTACCACTGATGCACAGTTGGGTGAAAAGACACTTGAGAGCATGATCTTCACTGATTTCAAAGCATCACCCACAGATTATTAATTATGAAGGGGAAAATAACTCTACAATGGAGATATCTGGAAGAGGCAATCTTTTTTCCCCCCTTTAAAAAAATTTTTAAATTTTATTTTAAAGATGTGGGGTACATATAAGATGCCACCTTAATAAGTGATCAAACTTAGCATTATGGGCCACCTGAAGTCATGAGATTAGAAGGATATATCACCTATGTAGTAATCTTCCCAAAAACGTTTAACCTGAATCTAATCATAGAAAAAACAGACAAATCCGTATTATGGGGACAATTTACAAGGCAACTGTTTTAGACTCTTTAAAAGTGATAGTGTCAGGAAAAACCAAAGAGAGGGTAGACATGTTTTAGATTAAAGGAAACAAAGACATGACATGCAGTGCATGATCTTTGGCTGGATTCTGGATCAAAATAAGACAGATTTAAAGGATATGATTGGCTTCTGGCCAACATGAAGTAGGAGAGACCAACCTAACTTCCTTCCTAAAACAACAAAAACAGATAAAATAGATGCCACAACAGTTGCGAGACATTGGACACCAGGCAATGAAGGACAGCGATCTCCAGGAGGTGAGAGATAATGAAAAGAGCATAGAGCTGCCCCAGCTCACTGCTTTGCTCGTGTCTGGGCCATGATTCAGGGAGAGGAGGTCCAGGCAGAGACTTGTGGACTCTAGTGAGGACAATGGAGCGAGAGTCCAGGAGACTAGGTGGCTGAGGTTCACACAGCACCCAGTGATATCATTGTCTACTGTACAGTCCACGTACACGTTTTCCCAATGCTCCCAAACAAGCAATGACCTTTAACAATCCACAATCCAATCAAGCATCAGACATTGCACTGTGTGTTCATGATTCTTTAGTCTCCTTCCATTGAAAACTGTTCCCAATCCTTTTTTTTTTTTTTGAGTTGGATCTCACCGTAACCCAGGATGGAGCGCAGTGGCATGATCATGGCTATTGCAGCCTCAACCTGCCAGACAATCCTTCCATCTCAGCCTTCCAAGTAGCTGGAAGTACAGGCGCGCACCACCATGTCTGGCTAATATTCTGATTTATTGCAGAGTCGGGGTCTCACCATGTTACCCAGACTGGCCTTGAACTCCTGGGCTCAGGCAGTCCTCTCACCTCAGCCTCCCTAAGTGGGCCCCCAATCTTTTAAAACTCTTTCATGGTATTGACATTTTTGAAGCAGCCAAACCAACTGTTTTGCAAAATGTTTCTCAATCACACAAAAAGCACATTTTTAGC